GGAAGAGCACAATGATAATACCAACATGGGCCAGTGAAGCAACGTCCTCCACAACTAGACTGAAGAACAAAAGGACAGCAACTTGTCTGCTCCCCTTCCCTGATTCCCCAACGCTGTTCCCCTACCCCAATTCTCCAATAAAATCTGAAAAAAAATTCTTTAAGAAACAGGTGGGTTAAACAGCAAATTTGACACAGAAAATGAAATAAATAGTACTAAATTGGAAATAATACCAAAGAAATTATCCAGAATGTAGCATGCAAGATAAAATGATTTTAAAAATATGAAATAGAAGTTAAGAGACATAGAGGATACAAAAAGAAGGTCCAATATATTTTTAGTAAGAGTTCCAGAGAGGAAAAGTGATAATAGTTGAGAATTTTCCAAACTTGAAGAGAGACATGAGTCCTCAGAGTAAGAAAGCACTCCAAATCCTGAACACAGTATTTAAAAATAAATCCATACTTAGATACACTGTAGTGAAATTACAGAACACCAAAGTTAAAAACAAAATAATAAAACAACCAGAGGGGAAAAACCTGATTGTCTACAACGGAACAACAAATGAGACCAAGAAAGCATGTCTTATTTGCAAAACCAGAAGTCAGAAGATAATGGTACATAATATTGTCAAAAGGCTGTTCATATTCAACAAACAATTCTATACTCACCTAAACTATCATTTAAGAGTGAGACCAAAAAAAAAAGAGTGAGACCTTTTAGTTAAAATGCTAAACACATTTAGCATGCTTGATATAAAGGACATTTATAGAGCCCTGTATCCAAAAAATGAGAGATGACATTCTTTCAAGCACGCATTGAACATTTTCATAAATAGTATCTCTTACTGAGTCACAAGTCACAATTTGTAACAAAGAATAAATATAATGAATAAAAAAAATTGGAAATCAGTAATAAAAAAAATACCCAAACTCTATCTACCTCATCCCCTTCAAACTATTATTTTGGAGCAAAGATACTTAACAAAATTTTAGAAAATCAAATCAAATAATATATAATTATGACCAAGCAGACTTTATCTTAGGAATGTAAAGTCAGTTTAACATTTGAAAATCAATCAATATAATTATTAACAGACCAAAATAGAAAAATCATATGATCCTGTCAACAGATGCAGAAAAAAAATTTGATAAAAATCCAACATCCATTTCTGATTTAAACTCTCAACAAGCTACGAATAGAAGGGGACTTCCTCATCCTGACAAAGGGCTTTTACAAAAATGTACAGCTAATGTTGTACTTACTGGTGAAAGGCTGAATGCTTTTCCCTAAAAACCAAGGCAAAAATGTCCATTGTCACCATGTCTATTCAATTATACTAGAGGTCTTAGTTAGAGCAGAAAGACAAGAAGTAGAAATAAAAGGTACCCAAATTAGAAAGGAAGAAGTTAAAATGTCTTTAATCCCAGAAGATATGATCATCTGTGTAGGACATCCTATGGGATCTACAAAAAAGCTACTAGAACTAACATAAGTGAGTTTAGCAAGGCTGCAAGATCAATATACAAAAACCAATTTTATTTCTGCATAAAAAACAATTAGAAATTAAAATTTTTTAAATACCATATGCATAAACATGAAAACTATGAAATATTAGGAATAAATCTGACAAAATATGGACAAAAGGTATACTAAAAACTACAAAACATTTCTTAGAGATTTTAAAGAAAACCTGAATAAAAAGATAGACCCTGTTCATGGGTTGGAAGACTCAATATTGCTTTAGATGTCAATTCTCCCCAAACTGATTTATAGATTCAAAGCTATCCCAATCAAAATCCTAACAGGATTTTTTTAGAAAATGGCAAGCCAATTGTAAAATTCATATGGAAATAAAGGACCTGTACTACAACTTTGAAAATGGAAAGTTGCAGGATTTACCCTAAATGATTTCAAGATTTATAATAAAACTACAATAATCATAACAGTATGACACTGGTACAAAGGTAGACAAACAGATAAATGGAAAAGAGCAGAGAATCCAGAAATAGACCCACACATAATGGTCAATTTGGGAAAATATCTAAATACCCTTCAATAAAACTGGTTAACTAAATCAGGACTTTTTAAAAATTATGGTACATCTACATATGGAAAACACGCAGCTGATAAAAAAATGAGGTAGACCTTCACACACTGAAGTACAAGAGCAATGTATACAGTATAACGCTTATGTTAAAAAACAAAACATGTGTGTGGGGTGTGTATGTCTGTGTGTTTTAAAGGTATGGAGAAATTACCAGTTACACACTCTTGGGATTGGGAGTCAGGGTAAAAGATGACATGTATACATGCATTTTAATCACTTTTATTCTTTTAAAAAGTGAGACATACTTCATGTTCTCCTTACAGGATGTGGGAGTGTCAGCCACCACTAGCAGGTACGTGAAGTCAGATGGCACGAACCTGGCACACAGCTGGCCATAACCAATGAGTTTCCTTCCTTCATTCACTTTTTTTTTTAACATCATTGTAGCCATTTACTTATTGAGTATGTGTACATTAAGGTGTTACTATACTGATTACATTCTTCATGTGGCTTTTAATTAAAAAATGTATCCAAAAGGAAAACAACACAGATATATACAAAGTTAAAAACACAGAGAAAAAAAGATAGAGATTATTAGATAAGGCAAATGTGGCTATAGGATGGATACTAAACACAAAACAGAAACCATTATCCCACAAACACAACCATGAGTTCTCAGCAACTGGAATACTGTGTACAGTGCTGACGGATTTACTACAAGAAAGATGTCATGAAACTGGAGAAGGTTCAAAGAAAGGCAGCTACAAAGATCAAGGCAACAGAGAGCCTGCCATGTGAGGAGAAGCTAAAAGGATTAAAATTCTTCAGTGGAGATAAGTAAGGCTACAATTGCAGTCATTTTGAAGTATGGCCAACACATTAAATGCATGGGTAAGAACAGGATAATTACACCTTGCACACAAAATTGCACAATACCAACATAAGAGAGGACACCCCCCCCCACCCCCCACCCCACCCTGCAAAGACATCTGGGACTAGTTTGGGACAAGCATAGGGAAATCCCATGCTATAGAAGGAAGTAAACTAATGGCACTCACTTTAGGAAGACAGCTTGGAGAGAGAGTTCTGTGCATGCGATGAAGAAAACAGCAGACATGCAGAACAGAGAAAACAGCATCGCCAAGAGAGGAAGAGGACACAGCAGCTGCTGTGACTTTTTGCTTCCCCACCTCAGCCAGTCTATTTCCTCACCTGTTTCCCTGAGATAACCTGAGGAAGTCTCTGCTCCCCCAGTCCAGAATTCAAACTGAAAATATGAACGAATCCACCAATATGAACCTATTCATGAAGAGATTACTCAAATTCAGGAATGGGCTGCCAAAGAAGATAAAACCCTTGCCAGTCTGTGTAGCCTCACCATAAACCTCTTTAGCACCAGCATCTATTTTGGACACTATCATCATTCTCAATATCAGTCGGCAAGGAATTACGACACCTCCTGAGTGTGTCCAAAACAGATGCTGGTGCTAGAAGACCTGACCCAGGGCAGCAGCTCCTGGGACCCCGGGTGTAAGTGGTGAACCCCTCATAGGGACCATCAAGTGGGCGTATGCTCAGGCCCAAAGCATCAGGCAGCCCAGCAGAAGAATGGCCCATTGCTATTCCCAACTCTGTGCAGGACAGGCTTTGAAAGGTGGCTGGTTAAAGCTGATCTCCAGTGCCAGGCTCCCTCCACCTCTGACAGGCCACGTCAGTGGGCCGCCCCCGTGCTAACTTACCACGGTTTCCACTCCTCAGGCAGGGAGGCCACAATGCCCTCCCGCGCAAGCCACATCAGTTCTGGTTCCTTGACGGGATCAATTCCAATCTCTCTGGCAAATTGAAGAACTTCTGCAAAGACAGCCAGGAGGGTAGAAGAGTAAGAGAGGTGGAGAAGTGGATGAAAAGAAAAATGTATCACAATCAACCTGCGAAATAATAAGAAATATATATGCTGGTTTCTGCCACTAGTTCCTGTTAATATTTGGTCTTTGACCCCAGTTCCTGAAAGAGCTTCTAAAGCCCTTGTAATTTCCTGAGTAGTAGGAACATTCTTGTTCCAATGAGGTGGCTCTTGGTGGTTCCCATAGGGCTCCTGGATGAGGGCTGGCCACCAGAAAAAGGCCACAATTAGAAGCTTGGAACTTTCAGGATCTCTCCCCATTCTCTGGAGAGGGAAGACGGGCTGGAAAATGAGGTAATTGATCAGGTCTGCATGACGACACCTCCATAAAAATCCCTAAACTATGGTGTTCACAGAGCTTACAGGCTGGTGACACAGCCACGACCCGGGGGATGGTGTACTCCAACTCCACGGGGACAGAAGCTCCTGCACTTGGGACCCTCTCAGTCCTCATCCTACGGATCTCTTCACCTGGATGTTCACCTGTATACTTTATCATACCCTTTATTATATAATAAGCTGGTAAATATAAGTGTTTCCCTGAGTTCTATCACTTGTTCTAGCAATTTATCGAACCTGAGGATGGCTTCGTGGGAACTGTGGTGGATAGCTGGTTAGTCAGAGGTACCGGGGACAGACTGGGACTTGAGACCAGGGACAGCCTGGGCCTCTGAAGTGCGGGCAGTCTTGTGGGACTGAACCCTTAACTTGTGGGATCTAATGCTAACCCCACACAGATAATGTCAGAACTGAATTGAATTATAGGACATCCATCTGGTGTCAGAGAATTGGTTGGTATGGGAAAAAAATCCACACATCTGGTTTCAGAATTACTGAGTGTGAGAGTAAAGGAAAGACAGGGTTTCTTCCCAAAAACTGTTCTACTCGGCCTTACTTTCAAAATTTTCTTCAGTGAGCAGGTATTACTTCTATGTAATAAATATAATTTTCTTAAATTAATTATAAATGGTATACCTGAATCAAGGCATGCTACTGCTGTACTCCAAGAACATATTCTGAAGCCAAGGATCACAAATGCCAAAAAAATAAGACCAAGACTTTAGTGTGGCAGGGGCCTCAGGGAAAATCCCAACAGCCACAGCTAGAACCATCGTGAATGAGGGCAGCCTTACCAGGACACAAGTTCTCCCAAGATCTGCAAAATCTTAGTGCAAAAGTGCTTGTCACTCAATCAAAAAGCATGTACTGAACAACTACCGAAGACTTGCGTACAAGCTAAGTGATAGGTGCTAACCGGGGGGGGGGGGGGGGGGGGGGGTGCACTGTCCCATGGGAGCAGAGAGAACGCAGTGACTTACTCTGTCAGAGTTGAGAAAGTGGGGTGATACTCGGGCAGTATCTTCCCCTCTCACTACACCCTCTCATGAAGAGAGTTGTTTCTTTTTCAATTTTGCTATATATTGGGTTGTCAGAAAAGTCATGATGCATTTTTGCCACGAAAACATAGAAAAAATATGTCATGACTTTTCTGACAACCCAATATTATAGGCTCTAATACTTGTGTTGTCCTCTTTTGGAATCAAGCATTCAGAAATGCTCTTTTGGGCCGGCCAAGTGGCTCAGTTGGTTAACAGCTCGCTCAAGAGTGCGAGCTCTGAGCAACAAGGGCACCAGTTCGATTCCCAGCCCAAGCTGAGCTGCTGCTGAGCTGCCAACAAGTAGTAGCATGGCTCAGCCAAAAAAAAAAACCCTATCTCACCTAGAAGAGAAAAGATAGATGCAGAGCCCCTAGGATTAACAAAATAAATTCCCAAGGTGCATGAATGCTTAAGCTGATAATAACCCAGGCTAGAGAAGCATCACTAACATGGGTCACCTCAATGAAGTATTTAGAGGTTGACATACCTGTGAACCAGGAAAGAAAAATCACTTTTCAAAGGACCAGCTGGAATTTTGCTAGCCAAGGGTGAATTTATTCATTGATTTCACAAATATTTTTGGAATGCCTCCTATTTACCAGTTATCATGTGCCATGAATAAGAGAGAAATGGTCCCTATCCTTATAAGCTTACATTCTAGTAAAAGAAACAGCCAGTAAAGAAGTAAACAGATAAATATACAATGAATTTAAGCTTCTAATAAACGTAACCAAGGAAGTAAACGAGGTATGAAATAGAGAATGTCAAGTTGGAGGAAGCACTCCTTTAGAAAGAGTCAAGGAAAACTTCTCAGAATGGTGACACAACTGAAACGTGTAGGAAAGGAGCCAGCTATGCACAGCACTGAGGAAAGAGCATTTAGAGAGAAGAGCAGTTACAAAGGGCCTGTGGCAAGAAGCAGCTTGACCCATCTGGGGACTATCAGAAAGGCCCTGTGACTGGTACAGCGAGCAAGGGAGAAAGTGGCACTGGATAAGCCAGGCCAGGTGGCAGGGCCAGGTCATGCAGAGCCCTGCACACCCCACTAAGGGTAGTATGCCAAGAATAAGGGAAGAGTTTAATAATCAGAGCCCTGATATGATCTGCTTTACACTGTAAGAAGAACACTCTTGTGCTAAGTGGAGCAGACTGGAGAAGGGTGAGAGCATAAGCAGGGAGGCTAAGTAGGAAGCTACTAAGAGCCCAGGAAGGGGCCGGCCAAGTGGCGCATTGGTTAAGAGCTGGCTTGGGACGCCAGAGGGCCCTGGTTCAGATCCCACATATGAGGGCCAGTGACACTGCCCTCCACAGCTAAGATGCTGAACAACAGCTCAACCTGGAGCTGGGCTGCCGTGAGTCGCCGGCGGCGGCGTAGGCTGCAGCCCCTGCTGCAGTGGGTTGCCATTGGCTACCGTGTGTGGTGGCAGCCAGCGTGAGCGGCCAGCAGCCGGTGGGAGCTGCCAAGAGCTGCCGTGAGAGGCCATCCAGAGACCGGTGATCTATCTGCCTCACCCGGGAAGAGCGCAATGATGGGCCAACTTGGGCCAGTGAAGCGACGTCCTCCACAACTAGACTGAAGAACAAAAGGACAGCAACTTGTCTGTTCCCCTTCTCCCAATTCCCCAGCGCTGTTCCCTATCCCCAACTCCCCAATAAAATCTTAAAAAAAAAAAAAAAAAAGAGTCCAGGAAGAGAATTGTGGTTTGAGCTTAGGATGTCCAAACTTGAACTGAGCAGAAGACAGTTTTTATCAAGATAAAATATTTCAGAAACTGAGCAAGAAATGTATAAAACCTACATGAAAAAAACTTTGAGTCACTCCTAAGAAACAAAAAACAGACGCAAATAGAAAGGAATACAATGTTCTTGGCTAGGAAGACTTAGCCAATAAAGATGTCACTCCCCTCTAGGTTCATTCATAAATTCAACACAATTTTTTCCAAGACACTAACAGTTCCCACATATAGAGCCCTCTCTAAAACTGGACAAGGTGATTCCAAAGTTCATGGGGAGATAAAACAAACAAGATAACCAAGAAAACTTCGAAGAAAACAGCAATGAGGGCACTTCAGTCCTACTAGATATTAGGATTTATCACTGAGCCTCAGTAATTAAGAGCACGGCACTAGCGTATGAACAGACAGTCAGATGGAAGAGAAGAGAAAGCAGACCCAAATGTACACAGGCAGCACCCATTCAGTGGGGGAAAGATGAGCTATTTCATGAATGGTTGGGGACAAGCCTAGAGGAAAACACGAGAGAAGTATTTATACTTGGAGTAGGGGAGGCTTTACTTAAGATACTAAATTGAGGCCATATGAGAATGGACTGATAAATTTAACACAAAAATATAAAATTTCACACAGCTAAGAATTTCTTGATGACTCCTGTCTCCACTGAGAGCCTGGTCGCCTGCCTACAGCTCTGGGCCTTCAAACTGGACTATGAGAGCATGGAGCAGGACATCACAGCACCACTGTTTTGACCTGAAAGTTGGCTTGGAACAGCTGGTGCAAAATGCCACCTTCCGCTGCATCTTGGCCACCCTGCTGGCTGTGGGCAACTTCCTCAGTGGCTCCCAGAGCAGCGGCTTTGAGCTGAGCTACCTGGAGAAGGTAGCAGCGGTGATGGACACACAGCGCCGGACACACTGCTATACTATCTCTGCTTCTTGGTGCTCCAGACTCAGCCTGATTTTTCCAACCTCTACTCAGAAAGCCCCCCACCCCCGACCCGCTGTGCCACGGTGGGCTTTGAGCAGCTGACTGAGAATCTGGGGCAGCTGGAGCACCGGAGCTGGGCAGCAGAGTTTGGTCAAGCATGAGCTGGCCCGAGCCCGCCTCACCCACTTCCTGTCCCAGTGTGCCTGCTGTGGTGCCATGCTATGGGTCGTGCACCACCGTGTCTGCACAGGTTCCATGCCTTCCTGCTGTACCTGGGGTACACAGCACAGGCAGTCCATGAAGCGTGCATCATGCAGCTCTGCCACACGCTGCAGGAGTTTGCCCAGGAGGACCGGACTTGCCGGAAATGGGTGCTTCAGCAGCAGCAGGCCACATACTGTGAGCACAAGACTCGGGGACACATGATCAGTGAAACAGAGAAGTCCTCAGAGTGGCTGGGGAAGCCCTCAGCAACCCATCCATCCCAGTGGCCATGGGTAGTGGGCCGGGCCAGGGTGATGCAGATAATCACGCCAGCATGATGAGTCTGCTGACCAGAGGACAACACACTCAGTTGCCGCAGCAAAGGCCTGGTCCAGGCAGCTCCCCAGTCATGCCCAGAGAAGTGGGGCCCTCCACTGCACTCCCAGAAGAACTCCCAGGCTCCAGTTTATCCAGAGACCCTTCAGATGAGATCATGGACCTGCTGGTGTAGTCAGGGACCAAGAGCAATCCTCGTGCCTTAACAATCTTTGAGAGGGACCTTGAAGAGCAGGCTCAGAGAAGACCTGTTGCAGGCACTGGGACTGAGAGAGGTCCCTGCCTGGAGGTGTGAAGGTGCTGCCTCCAGGATACCTATCTGGGCCCAGTCTGTATGCATGAGCCTACAGCGCAGCAGTTCTCAACCTGTGGGTCGCGACCCCTTTGGGGGTCAAACGACCCTTTCCCAGGGGTCGCCGGGTACTCGTATGTGGGCGTATCTGCAAGTGGGCCTAGAGACAGATAGAGGAGCGGTGTCTCGGTTCCTAAGACCATCGAAAATATGTGTTTTCCGATGGTCTTAGGCGACCCCTGTTAAGGTTGAGAACCGCTGCTATAGAGTGAGTGAGGAGGAACCAGGGCAGAATTCTGGGCATCTTCTCAACCCTGGGGCCACTCTGTGCCCAGTGCCCAGTGCTTTGAGCAGTATTCGCTGTGTGTACCTGTGTGTGCATGCATATGTGTGTGTGTGTGTGTCTGTGTGTGTCTGTGTGTGTGTCTGTGTGTGCATGTATGAGTTCCCTGAACACATAGAGTATAATGAAGTTTTCTTAGCCAATCGAAAGAAAATTAAAAATTTCTACATGGTAAACAAACAAAAATCCTATGCTAGAAGCAAAGTCCAGGGTTTAATGCTGGATCCATGGACTCCTGAGGGTGCAAGAGTTCTTCCCCACTCTCTAGCAGGCCCACAAACCCTCTGAATTATAAACAAAATGTGTATGTCCAGGTCTGTAACTCATGAGAATTTCAAAACAACCTTCACCCTCCAAAATAGCATAGTGCTTCAAAGTGCATGCCCTGGAGTAAGAATATCTAGGTATGAATCCTAGCTGTACTGCGTAGCAGAACTGTGTGACTGCAGGGAAGTTAACCTTTCTGTGCCTTGGTTTCCTCATATGTAAAATGGGAATAATAGCACCTAACTCACGAGTTGCTATAAAGGCTGAAACAGAAATACATGTAGAGTTCTTACTACAGACAATGGCACATAGTAACACGGAATAAATTTTGTTATTATTGTCGTTAATAATGTTGTTGGGCCGGCCGAGTGGCTCAGTTGGTTAAGAGCTCGCTCAAGAGTACAAGATCTGAGCAACAGCGGTTCGAGTCCCAGCCCAAGCTGAGCTGCTACTGAGCTGCCAACAGGTGGCAGGATGGCTCAGCTAAAATAAATAAATAAATAAATAAATAAATAAATAAATAAATAATGTTGTTGTTTTTTTTAAAAAGGCTTTAGTTTGTTCTTAAGAAATTGGGTTTCCCCTGGCCTCAATATATGCTGTATTTCATAATGCCCCCTACTATATTTTCATTTAAAATTAATCATTGATCTAACCCAAGGTCAGCACACTTTTTCTGTAAAGGGCCAGACAGTAAACATTTTAGGCTTTGTGGGTCATACAGCTTCTGTCACAACTACTTAACACTACCCTTGCAGCATGAAAGCTGCCATAGATAATAATACATGAACAAATAAGCATGGCTGTTATCTAATAAAACTTTATTTACAAAAACAAGCAACATGCCAGGTTAGGCCTATGGGCTATTGTTCACCAACCCTGATCTAACCCAAATATACCAAGCAGCTCTATGCACGTACCATACTTTGCATTGGAAGAACAAAAATGAGTCCGAGATAATTCCTGCTCTCAAAGAACTATTACAATATACCCCAGGCCTCTTACCTTGCTCACTGGGGATGTAATTCTCATCATAATCTTCCTCTAGAACCAGCTGGTCTCCTATACGGATGGGTCTTCCGGCCATGATTGGTCTGGGCTTGAATGCCTAGATCCCAGAGACCCCCCACCCACCTACCCAGAGAGAAAATCAGTGACCCAGCTGAGAAGAGGAAAAATTGGAGCTGGGTCATGGACCACCTGGGTCTGACCAGACCCGTAAGCCAACTTAGCCAGGGATTTTCCAGATGCCAGGGAAAGTGGAGGGTAGGGCCAATAGCTCAGAACTCAGGCCTTCCGGGCTCTGGGCCCTGCAGAGTTCCCTGAGACACATCTCCCAAAGGCATACTGGACATTCAGTGGACCACAAAAGATCTGAAAACCCAGCTCTCTCAAGAGTTTGACTTCCTATCCCCATCAAATGGGAGAAATAATTAACAGTACAGGACACCCAGCTAGAAAACCCTAGTGACTGAAATAACTAGCAGTCCCCCAACCCCGCCGCCCATATACGAACATACCCCAGTGTGCTCACACTGCCTCCATATGTATCCCTATCTGCATGTCCCTATTTACATTCAACAACGCCCCCAGGGAGCTCACATTCTAGTGGAGGTAGTATATACAACCTCCACAGTAGTACAAGGCGGAAGGGAAAAACATCCTGCTCTGAAAGTACTGAAGGATGAAGAAAGGCTTTGTCAAGGAGCTGGGTACCAAAGGCTGACAAGAGTTCTGATAGTGGAGATAGCTATTCCAGGCAGAGGGGACATCACGTGCAGAGAGGTGTTGTGGAGTCCTGGATACCAGCATGGATGGCAGGGACTGGGGTGGGAAGCCAGGTCAGAGTCTGGTTATGGAGAGCCTTGTACAAGACCATGCTAAAGAGCCTCAACTCTGCCCTGTGGCAAAGGGGATCACTGAGGGCTTTAGTGAAAGAAAATGACACAAAGTAGCCTTTTTTTTAAAGATGAAACTCTGGCAGGAGTGGCATGGCTGGATTGGAGAAATGAGACTGGTGTCAGGGAAACCACTGAGGAGGCTGCCACCCAGATGAAAGATGATGAGGATTTAAATAGGGCAGAACCGCTGGCCAAGTGGCATGTTGGTTCAGAGTTGGGTTGGGAGTGCGAGTTCTGAGCAGCAGGGCCCCGGTTCAGATGCCACATGAGGGCCAGTGACGCTGCGCCCTCTACAGCTAAGATGGTGAACAACAGCTCGACCTGGAGCTGGGCTGCCATGAGTTGCCGGCAACAGCGTAGGCTGCAGTGGGGCTACAGTGGGTTGCTGTAAGCTACCGCTGAGTGGCTGGCAGCCAGCGTGAGCTGCCAAGAGCCGCTGTGAGCGGCCATCCAGTGGCCAGCGACTGATCTGCCTCGCCCGGGAAGAGCACAATGATGGTGCCAACATGGGCCAGTGAAGCAACGTCCTCCACAACTAGACTGAAGAACAAAAGGACAGCAACTTGTCTGTTCCCCTTCCCCAATAAAATCTTTAAAAAATAAAAAAATAAAAATAAATAAAACAGGGCAGAAGCAGTGGAAATGGAAAAGTAGGGACAAATATGAGGGATGCTGTGATGTTAGGTTTAATAGGACTAGGACGTGGGGAGAAAGAGTATAGAGGAGTCCAACTTGAATCCAAGGTTTCTAGCTCCAGGGATGGGGCAGCACCAAATTCTTCAACTGACAAGCTGGTGCAGTTCTAGAATTGCTCCTCCCTTCCTATCCCTACTCCTGCAACTACCTCAGGACCCCCAGGTAACACCCTCCCCTATGGCAGCTCCCATGCTGAAGCCCGATGATACAGAGACAAGTCGCCCTGTAAAGGGTGCCGTAGACTGCTCTGTTCAGAGTATGTCCCACAACTAAGGAGGCATCAGCCACCCCTGTGTAACCAACAGGAGTCCAGAGGAACAGGTCCTGACCTCTCCTGCAGCCACCTCTTCAGAAGCTGTCACTGTTCCACCTGGAACGGCGAGCACGACACAGCCCTCTGAAAGCAGGGCAAGTCAGCAGAAAAAACTTGTCATCAAAAGGAGGTCGGGACATGGCCTGCAATGACTGCTCAGGAAATGGCCAGATCTGATGACTCTGAATCTGTTCCAAGGCTCCTAGAGAGGGACCCTAAAAAATGGCGAAGGATCTATGAAAGACCACTACTGTGGTCCTCTCTGCTCCCTGACAGCTGAGAGATGAGCAAGGGAGGGGTCTTGCCTTAGGACTCCCAAGAGATGGTTCCCTCTGTCAGTCCAATGGACCCAAGGGAGCCAGACTTTGCTGCCTCTCATTCCTATCATGACACCTCCAAGCAGTAACGTGGAGCAGCGCCTCAGTAAGAAAGGCTAAAGGAAAAGGCAGCCCGCCCTGCAGCACACACACCCAAGTGGGAATCTGCTCCCTCCCCTAAGAACCCACAACCCCCATGGACATAATGCTCGAGCCTCTGCACACACAGTCAGAGATCAGTAAGGCCACCAACTCCGTAAAAACAGAGAAGAAAAGAGCCAGGAACCAGGGCAGTGGATGTGGCCCACTGCCTCGTGGCTTAAGGAGTCCCCGGCATCTTTAATCCTCTTAGTTGGGGAGGAGAGGTAAAGAGAAGGGAAAGGAATCCCTGGGGAGGGAGGAATCAATATCAGCCTGAACATCAGGGTGGACATTATTCAATCCAACAGGCAGTGATCTATACAAGGCATTGTATCTACTATCTCAGAGAATCTGAGAAATTCTGCATTTGAGAAATGTTACCTATCCCCAGACACATCCCATCTCCAAAAGCACGGGGCAGGTAAAATCTGTCCTCGTGGGGCGGCCTGTTAGCTCAGGTGGTTAGAGCGCAGTGCTCATAACACCAAGGTTGCCGGTTCGAGCCCCACATGGGCCACTGAGTTGCGCCCTCCACAACTAGATTAAAGACAGCTACTTGACTTGGAGCTGATGGGTCCTGGAAAATCACAGTTCCCCAATAAAATTTCTAAAAAAAAAGACTGATTTTCTGTCCTCGTGGCAACGAGCCTGATTAGCTATATACATAATTATCTATGTTTAACTATTTAAAGGTTAGGAAGAGCCTGGAAAATCTGAATTCATGGATCACTCAAATGTCATACAAATCTTCTGTCAGAAAAAAACTAAAATATGGGTAGGCTACATTCTACCTTCTCTCCTCGCCTTGCCTGGCTTCCAAAAAGATGTGGGCTAGGACAGCGCCAAACGGGCAGGAACTGGAGGAATGAGGGAAGTGTGGGAAGATAAATCATATTTGTTTAATGGCTACTAGAGCTCACTTACTCATTTGAGAACTTGTATTGACCTAAGTTTATTTATTTGGGGGCACTAGAGATGCGATGGTGATTAAAAAGATTCCGCTGCTACTCCCCTGGAGCTACAGTCTAGTGAGGGACGGTGGCAAACCAAAGAGTGACAGATAAATGTATAATTATAAAGGAGGTGAGCGCTCTGGAGGAAATGAGCTTGATTTAGATGAAGCCTATGCTGAGAACTGAAGGACGAGGAGGTATTCACTAGACAGGCAGAGGAGGAAAAGTGCAAAGGCACTTCAACAAGAAGAAGTGAGGATAATAATCTCTGCCTAGCTGAGAGGATGAGGTGAGATGATGTGCACAAAGCAAGAAGCAGCATGGTTAGAGATGAGGCTGGGGAGGTGGGTGGAAGCCAGGTCATACCGAGAGCTTCGCCTTTAAAATAAGAGCTGAGGGCCGGCCAAGTGGCTCAGTTGGTTAAGAGCTCGCTCAAGAGTGTGAGCTCTGAGCAACAGCGGTTCGAGTCCCAGCCCGAGCTGAGCAGCCGCTGAGCTGCCCAACAGGTGGCAGGATGGCTCAGCTAAAAAAATAATAAATAAAAAAATAAAATAAAATAAGAGCTGAAAGCCAGGAAAGGGTTTTTCTAGATAGAAATTTTAATAAGATCTCTCTGGCAGCCACTGGGAATACGGACTGCAATGGAGGCCAGATTAGAAGGAAGAAAATCATAGAGATTAAGTAGGAAACCGTGAGCTAGACTAAGTGAGAGATAATGATAACCTGGGGTACAATGATAACAGAAGAGAAGATGTCTAAGAAAGCAGCCCTGAGATCTGCTATGGCAAATACATGGCACATGTCCTAACATTTCCCTCCAAACCTGAAACTGTGAGGGACATCACTAGTCAATCACAGCACTCTAGACATGGCTTCAATGTTATACACTACGTAGCACTTGCCAACAGATCACATGAAACCTGATAAGATCTACTTGTCACCAGGCCTGAAACCCTCTATGAGCCATAACAGTTTTAGGGGAGGGGTCATCCAATTGCACTTATCCATCTCCTGCCAATCCGAGAATCTAACAAACAAACAAACAAAAAAAGTGGCTTAAACACCTCCTCCAGGAAGCCCTCCCTGGCTAACCTTAGCCTCTCCCATCCACACATAACCTCCTCAGCAGTGAGCAGTTTTCATGTGTTCATAGGAATATGACTCTTAATATTGCTTTTTTCATGGGAATGTGTTCCACCTCTCCTGTTAAACCACAAACGTATGAGGGCCATGCCTCCTCCCTCCTCTGCATTTTCTGACCAAGCCCAACATAAGGTATGTAAACTAGAGGCTCTGTCTCTGCTATAAACCACTAACACAGAACCAAAGAATCTCAAGAGCCAGGAAAGCCAGAAAAGCTTTGATCTAAACGCCCCTCCGATGCCAAATGTTTCCTCTCTATACTTCAAATGACAGACAGCATAGTGGTCGAAGTACCAGCTTTGGGGCCCAAAACACCTGGATTCAAACCCCAGCTCTCTCGCTTACCAGTTGTATGACCTCAGGCAAATTAGGCAAGGTCCTTCACCACTCTATACCTCTTGCGTATAATGGAAACAATCATGATAATCTACATCAAAAGGTTATTTGAGGATGAAATGAGATACTTCTTGTAAAGTACCTAGCATAGTCCCTGGAACACAATACATGTTAAACAAATTTAGCAGTATTACTGATGTTATTGCCAATTCCACAGTTAGATCATTCTTAACTATGAAAAGGTCTTTCCCATAGTAAGCCAAAATTCAGTTTCTAAGAAATTTCCTCCCATTTGCCTGTTCTGCCCTCTGGACCTACAGAGAGAACCCAATGCTTCAAGCTAAGTACAGTAATACCTTGGTTTGCGAGCATAATTCGTTCCGGAAACAAACTACTTGTATTGCAAGACATCGTTTGTTTACCAAGTTAAAATGTATTAGAAATGCTTGCTCGTCTTGCAGAACACTCGCAAACCAAGTTACTCGCAATCCAAGGTTTTACTGTACTCCCTGCATTCAAAATATGCCACTGTTCCCCAATCCCTCAATATTGTGGTTTCCTTCCTATAAAGACTGATTTGTCAGCATAGCCAGAATGTTTTGAACACCTGAACACTAATCGAGCATATACACGCATATGCTTAATTAGGGTTCCCTGCATATTTATTCCTTTCTCCCTGTTTGAACAATTATAAAGAAAGATCATGGGGCGGGAGGGGGGGAGATTTACTGGAGAAGGATTTAGGGAGAAGGTGGAAGACATTAGAGTTGATTATGTAGCAGTAATGAACACAGATTTTGGAGCATTCTTGGCTTTAATCCCAGCTCCACCACTTATCTGCTGGACAAGCTGCCTCAGTTTCCTCATCTGTAAAATGAGGATAATAACAATATCTATCTCAAAGGGTAGTGAGAGTTATGATTCAATACATGTAAAACACTTAAAGTAAAATCTCATTAAATGTCAGTTGTTGTTATTACTATTCACATTTTTAAAGGGCTTATTCTACGTTGTTCAAGAGGACAAATCCAGTGCCCGGGAATAGAAGTTAGGACATTCAGACATTCAATAAGCAGTTATTGAACACCTACCATGGGTCAGGCACTGTGCTGTTATGGCTACAAACCTGATTACACATGGGCTTGAACTCCAGCTCAGCCTAGTCGGAAAGCCAAACACATGAACACACAATTATATGTTGAGCATATTAAGGGAAGTAACAGAAAATACAACAGGATACAAAAGTAAGAGCAACTAATCTCACTTTGGAAGATCAGGGTATGTATCACAGAGTAGAGGACTACTGAAGATAAATCTTGAAGGACAAGCAGAAGTTCACCAGGATAAGGGAGGAAGGGAATTTAAGGGCAGAAGAAACAGCAAGCACAAAGGCAAAGAGGGAGGAAAGAATATAGTGGATGCAGAGAATTAAATTATGACAATAAAAAAAGCTTATATTCCCTGAACACTTCCCATGTTCCAAGAACTGTACTAATGCTTTATACACATCATCTCACCTCATCATCTCAGCTAGGTAGAGATTATTATCCCCAGTTTTCAAATAAGGAAATTGAGGCTCAGCAAGGCTAAAAAAATTTTTTTGCCCACGGTTTCAGTAAATGGCACAGAGAGCACGCACATGCCCACATCTATGTGACTCCAAAGCCGGAGCTCTAACCACTCTGACATGACCAGAAGTGTAAGGGACAATGGGAGGGGTGGCAGAAGAGAGATCTACAGTGGAAGGCAAGGAGCACATTATAAAGGGCTGTAGCCTGCAGGTGGTGAGGTGTCATCATGGGATTTCACATAATTAAGACAGCTGAGCTGTGTTAGAACTAATCACAGGGCAAGCACAGAGGCAGAGGGATCACTGAGGAAGTTATCCTAAAAGCACAGGCAAGCAATTATGAACTAAACTAGTCGCTGTGAGAATGGAAAGGAAGAACTAGATTCTATGGGTATTAGGTGCAGAACAACCGGACCTGGTGTCTACAGCTAGTGAGAGAGAGGGAGGCAGGAAATCACAGCACTTTAGCCAGTATCCTGTTCACTGTTATCTGTTCATTTCTACGCCTTGCGCCTTGCCAACAGACCCACCTACTATCCTGCTGAGAATATAGGAAATACCCAACAAATGTTTGCTGTGTACATTAGATGAATGAATTCCAGGTGCAGACTTGACTAAGTGAATGGTGAAGTCCTTCACTAAGGCAGGGACTACAGATGCGGGGGAGAGGGGCCGGGAAGCAGGAAGGCTGGAGAAGTGTGCGGTTGGGGATGATCATTAACAGGTCTGAGCTCAGGGAAAGTCTAGCTGGAGCTGCAGTTTGGGGAGTCACCTTTTAAATAGATGGCAACTGAACCGCTGGGTGAAATCACCCAGAGCTGGCTGTGATGAGTAGAAGGGAAGGGCCTTCAGAGGCAGCTGAGGAGGGCTGAGTTAGAAGAACCAGGACAGCGGATCTAGGTGAAGCTAGATTGTAATCAATGCAAGGAAAGTTAAAAATAAAAACTAAAACGTTCTAATTCTCCCAGCTGCTCAAAAGACGGCAAAGGGTCTGGCTAACCCTAAATTCGAACCCGAGGAAAGCTTCCCTAGGAGAGGTATTCAGGCAAGTTTCGAAGGCCAGGCCTTACCCACTAAGAACAGGGCAAATAAACGGGCGCTCCAGCTCCAGCAAGCTGACGTTGCCCAGTGCCCGCACTCACTCCCTCGCCAGTACCCGGGCCCAGGGCCCCTTCTGCTACTCGGAGAGCTTTTTGGATAGATGCACAGTTGTCCAGCCGCTCCTTTTTCACTTCTTTCAGTTCCCGCCCACACTCGTTGCATACACCGATCGTTGGCCGAGAGTGCGCGACTCTCCCGCTTCCCTCCTTTCCCCGCCACCCAACCCCTCCCTCGAGGACGTCCTCACCTGTCCCCAACCGTGGGAAACTCTGGGCGAGGGCTCCCGCCTCTGCGTAGCTTCCTTACCACCCCAGCTCCCCGCTTCTAGGGACGCCGGGGTGTTGCCCTGCAGAGGCCAACAACCGCTTCCGGAGAGGGTACCAACCTAGCAACTGACAGTCCCGCCTCTACCCGGTGTCAATAGGTCGCTTAATGAGAGCTCTGGGATTGGATTGGTTAGCAATCCCGTCAGATCACGGAGGAGTTATGTACGTTTTCCGTTGCACAATGGGAGTTGTAGTCCAAGGTAGTGGATGGGGGTCCGCAAACGGTTAAAAGAGAGCTCTGAATTTAGAAATGAGGGGATTTTCTTCTCGGGCAAGAAGGGAACAGTCACAGTACTTATAATAAAGTGCATTAACTAAGGCAGTTTATTGCTCACCATTTTTTAGTAGTGTGGTTAATATCAGATAAATAATACACTAATTATCAATAATCAACCCACTGAGCCTTTAATAAACAAAAGAAATGTGAATGTAAAGTAATGGAGAACCCCCACCAAGAAAAAACAAAAACAAAAACAAAAAACAAACGAACAAAAACAGGCTCCCCTGTGCTCTAATTAAATCCATGATCAGGAGTCAAGAGACTAGTTTCTATTCTCCGTGTTTTCATCAGAGCACGGGGCCCAGTTTGCATATCTGCAAGATGGGGATAATAATATCTGTCAAAACAATTTCAAAGAGTCTGTTTAAGAAGAATAAAAGTGACACAATGTGTAGCGTCTTCACATGCCCTGTCTGGCAGAAGTGTTGCTAATAATTGATATAATTCCAAAGAGCTTTAGTTTTGCTTACACAGAGGGCAAATCTTCTTTTCTCTCATACGTTCTCAACCTCCTGGAGAAATTAAGAGTGGCAAAGACGGCTCTGACGTTACATCAATGGGAAAACTGGGGAACAGGAAAAAAGAGATGCTACTAGCTGAAAAGGAGAATGGAGCACCTGGGGAAGCTCCTGATAAGTTCCAGGAAATGGATCTGGCTCCTACTAACTCCTGAATCTAGTCCCAGAGCCACTCAGGGCTGATCCCAGAATGAGCAAATCAGATTGCTGTTCCTGTAGATTCCAAACCAGATGTCCAGAATGTAGTCCTCATTCTGTAGTCTAACTTCAGATCTTCCTCTGGCAGTTCTGCCTATACTTTCTTCCTTCAGCCTGCAGATGACAGAGCATTGCTCCCCCTTCTTCTCCATGCTCTTTAAAAGTCTCACAGAGAGGCCAAAGGGACCAGACTGGGAAGGGACTCACTGCTCACCACTTCATCCATCACAGAACTTGCATAAAACAGGGATTCAAAAAACCATTTGTAGACTTGGTCCCTATGTCCAAGAATTTGCAATTAATCTGGTTGACTTTAATAGCTATCAAAATTCTTAACTTTTGGCCCTTAACATGGGTCCCTTGCTCTCTGACAGCAAGACCTAATAAAATAAGGGTCACTATGGGTTTAATGGGATTATCTCACACAAATAAGCAATTTGCATTTTATCAGGTTTCCCTATGGGTTTGTACTCGGAAATACAAACCAATTTTTAAATGCCCTTAGGCAAACATAATTAAGAAAGCCAGTCTTTGAGAGGAAATAACAAAAATGACACTCCAGTTGATGTACCAGTAATATGCCCAATGAATGTGGAATTTCACACATTGCAGGTTATCTTCTGCAGCCAGGGATGAACATTTAGGGGTGATTTTTCAAAAAAGAGGGAGAAAAAAAAACAAGTTGGTCCCAAACTTTATGCCCTATCCCCAGGTCAGAAATTCCACTGTTAAACCATTTCTTCTTTTTTCATACTATTTACTTGTAATATATAGAAAATCACCTACACAATAAGAAAGAAAAACAATCATTAATTTTACCATTAAAAATTATATAAAGATGTGAAGTGTTCCTTCTACACTTTCAATCCACCTTATTTAAAATAACAAACTATCCTTCAATCTCCCTTCTCTTTTTTTTTCTTCTTAAAGAAAGATTTTTTTTTTAATTGGGGAATTGGGGGAGGGGAACAGCATTGGAGAATAGGGGAAGGGGAACAGACAAGTTGCTGTCCTTTGTTCTTCAGTCTAGTTGTGGAGGACGTTGCTTCACTGGCCCATGTTGGTATGATCATTGCGCTCTTCCCGGGTGAGGCAGTTGCTCACTGGCCATTGGACGGCAGCTCACAGCAAGCAGCTCGTGAAAGCTCACGCCCGCTGCTGGCCAGCCCCACTGCAGCCTACGCCGTTGCAGGTGACTCACAGGAGCCCAGCTCCAGGTGGAGCTGTTGTTCACCATCTTGGCTGTAGAGGGTTCAGCGTCACTGGCCCTCACGTGGGATCCAAACCGGGGCCCTGCTGCTCAGAGTTGGCATCCCAAGCCAACTCCTAACCAACGCACCACTCAGTTGGCCCTCTGCTTAATTTTCCCCCATAGCACATATCACTGTCTGAAATACCGGTACTATATATTTTATTTCTTTATTATCTCTCTCCCTGTATTAGAATGTAAGCTGCATAAGGACAGGAATTTTGTCCACTTTGTTTACTGCTGTATCCACAGTGCCTAAAACAGTGCTTAGCATGTAGTAGGCACTCAATAGACATTTACTGAATAAATGAATGGATTAATGAGCAAATGAAGGAAGGAATGAATCCCACACTTGAGAGAAAAATCACTGTTGACATTTTGGTTCCTATCTACCAGACATTTTAATGCTTATGCAGATGTAAACTTATATACATACATGTATGAGTCTGACAATTAAGTTCGCAAACTTGCCACTGTGCTCTTACATTGGCAGCACTGTACAAACAGCTTAGTAAGGTTTCACAACTTTGGTATATCAGTGTCTCACAGCTGTGTTCATGTCAACATGTGGCAGTGTCTTGCTGAGTGGCATTCATGATTGTTGTGTGTTTTTGTGTGCCATCGCAACAATGTCTGAGCTTGAATTAGAGCAATAAACAAACATTAAATTTCTTATTAAACTTGGCAAGAGTGGAAGTGAAATCTGGGACATGTTAGTCCAAGTTTATGGTGATAATGCCATGAAGAAAACGGCAGTGTACAAATGGATGAAATATATTTCTGAGGGGAGAGAACACGTCACTGATGAAGAGAAGTCAGGGCTCCCAGTAACGAGCAGAACTGATGTAAATATTGCAAAAATTCATTGAATTGTGCATCAGAATCATTGGCTGACTGTGAGAAGCATGCAGACCAAGTAAACATCAATAGAGAAACAGTTAGGAAAATCTTAACTGAAAATCTTGGCATGAGAAAGATGTGTGCAAAAATGGTCCTGAAGGAGCTCACCGATGAACAAAAGCAAAGGAGAGTCGAAGTTTGCCAAGACCTTTTGGAGAGGCAAGACGATGTTTTTGGGTCATGTTATCACTGGTGATTAAACAAGGGTGTACCAATACGACCCTGAAACAAAGCATCAAAGTGTACAGTGGAAGTCAGCCAATTCTCCACGACCAAAAAAGTTCCATCAGTCCAAATCAAAAGTCAGAATGATGTTGCTAACCTTTTTTGATATCAGAGGGATTATTCATTATGAATTTGTACCAAGTGGACAGTTAACCAAATTTACTATTTGGGAGTGCTGAAAAGTCTGCATGAAAAAGTTAGATGAGGGCTGGCCGAGTGGTGCATTGGTTAAGAGTTAGCTTGGGACACCAGCTCTGAGCAGCAAGGCCCAGGTTCAGATCCCACATGAGGGCCAGTGACGCTGCGCCCTCTACAGCTAAGATGGTGAATAACAGCTCGACCTGGAGCTGGGCTTCCGTGAGTCACCGGTGGTGGCGTAGGCTGCAGTGGAGCTACAGTAGGCTCTGGTAAGCTACCGTGAGCGGCCCGCAGCCAACGTGAGCTGCCAAGAGCCGCCATGAGCCTCCGTGATTGGCCGTCCAGTGGCCAGGGAGCGACTCCCTCAGCCAGGAAGAGCGCAATGATAATACCAACATGGGCCAGTGAAGCGACATCCTCCACAATTAGACTGAAGAACAAAAGGACAGCAACTTATCTGTTCCTCTTCCCCAATTTCCCAATGCTGTTCCCCTCCCCCAATTCCCCAAAAAAATCTTTTAAAAAAATAAAATAAAATAAAATAAAAAAGTTAGACGAAAACAACCTGAACTTTTTGCCAACAATTCATGGCTCTTGCATCACAACAATGCACCAGCTCACACGGCACTGTCTGTGAGGGAGTTTTTAGCCAGTAAACAAATAACTGTATTGGAACACCCTCCCTACTCACCTGATCTTGCCCCCAATGACTTCTTTCTTTACCTGAAAACAAAAGGAATATTGAAAGGAAGACACTTTGATGACGTTAAGGACATCAAAGGTAATAAGATGACAGTTCTGATAACCATTCCAGAAAAAGAGTTCCAAAATTGCTTTGAAGGGTGGACTAGGCACTGGCATCAGTGCATAGCTTCCCAAGGGGAGTACTTCGAAGGTGATCACAGTGATATTCAGCAATGAGGTATATAGCACTTTTTCTAGGATGAGTCCTCGAACGTAATTGTCAGACATCATATATGTACATTTTAAATTTTATAGAAATGAAATCATAATGTACATATTGTTCTACAATGTGCTTTTTTTTATTTAGCATGTCATAAACATCTTCCAAGACGAGTTCATCAGAAGTTACTCCATTCTTTATAGGTTATGTAGGATTCCATTGATTGAATGTCTCATTCCCCACTGATAATCATTTATTTTGTTTCCAAAGTTTTGATATTGTACACAATGCTGTTATTTTTGTTAATTAAGATCCTAGAATTGACAAAGAATTTACATTTTTTTACATTCTAATTGACATTGCCAAATTTCTCTCTAAAAATGAAATTATTTGCAGTCCAACCAACACCAAATATTACCAATATGAGAAGCAAAAAAAAAATAATGATGATCGTATCTAAATGTTTTTTGTTTGTTTTTTATTGGGGAACTGTGTGTCCTTCCAGGACCCATCAGCTCCAAATCGAGCAGTTGTCTCAATCTAGTTGTGGAGGGCGCCGCTCAGCGGCCCATGTGGGGATCGAACCCACAACCTTGGTGTTGTGAGTACTGCACTC